CGGGAGAGCCGGGGGGGGGGGGGAGACACCGAGGATGGAGATGCTCCAGGTAAGACCGCAGGGCCCCTGGGCCCCTTGCGACTACATCCAGGCCACGGCTGGAAGGAAAAGGGAGAGTCCTGTGACCCAGCAAAGGAGGCCTCTTTCTAGAAGCGTGTGGAGAGCCAGCAAGCTTCCTGGCAGGAGGGAAGCAGCTGGTGCAGGGCCTGAGGGTGGGTATCTGGGGTCCCTGGGTATGGGGATGGGAGATTCTTGAATGGAAGGCTCAGGCAGAGAAGCTGGGTCCCCGAGCGTGTGTATGCAGGGCCGGGGGTGGTGGTGGTAAGGATTTGGGGCGGAGGGCTCAGGCTGGCCCTGAGGCACTGGCCTTGTCCCAGGGGCTGCTGCTGTGGCTGCTGCTGAGCGTGGCCGGGGTGTGGGCACCCAGGGGGCCACTGCGGCCGCTGTGCCGGCCCATCAACGCCACCCTGGCCGCTGAGAATGAGGCCTGCCCTGTCTGCATCACCTTCACCACCAGCATCTGTGCCGGCTACTGCCCCAGCATGGTGAGCTGCCCAGGGTGGGTGGGTGCTGCCACCTCAGCTCCAGGTGGATTACTCAGGGCCAGGCCCACAGAAGACAGGAAGTGGCCCCGGGGGTATAAGGGTGGCCCGCCACACAGGGCTGGGGCTGGGCGTGTGGGAGGGAGAGCACAGATGGTCCTCTGGACACCCGAGTCTGGGATCTGTAGGGTGCAGTGAGGGAGCTCGGGGGAGGGCTTGGCCCCAAGTAGACACCCAAGCCCTCCCCGCCAACCCCGCCACCTCCAGGTTCGGGTGCTGCCGGCTGCCCTGCCGCCTATGCCGCAGCCAGTGTGCACCTACCGCGAGCTGCGCTTTGCCTCCATCCGGCTCCCCGGCTGCCCGCCTGGTGTGGACCCAACGGTTTCCTTCCCCGTGGCCCTCAGCTGTCACTGCGGGCCCTGCCGCCTCAGCAGCTCTGACTGTGGGGGTCCCAGAGCCCAGCCCTTGGCCTGTGACCGCTCCCCTCGCCCAGGCCTCCTCTACCTCTAAGGATCCCCACCTCAACCTCCCATACCCACCTCAACCTCCCATGCCCACCTCAACCTCCCATGCCCACCTCAACTCCTGGAGCCAGCAGACGCTCCTCCCCATGCCTCCTAATAAAGACTTCTTAAACTGCACTCTGGGGGTGTCTTTCTGGGGTCTCAGGGTGTGTGTGCCTGTGTACGCGCACACGCACACACAACACACACAATAGGTCCAGTTTCAGAACCATTTTATACAAAGTCACAGTGTCAGAACTCTGGGAGAAAATAGGGAAGCGGGGGTGAAGGTGGTATCAGCTCAGGAGGTGTCCATGGTTTCACCTTCTGTCGGGAGAAGGAAGGCCACGTGGTCAGTGTAGCCCCAAGGGCAGGGCCTGAGCTCTCCAGGCCGGGCTCCCTCCTCCCTCTCTGGGGCAGGCGGGGAGGGGGACACTCACTGAGCTCATTGAAGAGGAAGGCGTCCTGGTACTCCTTCATGTACTGCGTGGAGCGCGACTCATCCAAGAAGAGCGAGTAGACCCGCTTGATGTCATCCACCTGTACCTCGGTGCCCTGATAGGGGAATTGAGACCTCAGTAGGGCCCCTCCCAGGAGGTGGGTCAGGGTGAGGATTCTGGGGCCAGGTCGCCTGGATTCAAATCCTGCCATGGCCACCTCGTGGCTGTGGGCCCCACCTCCCCACCCCTCACCTTCTTTTTT